CGCAGATTAAGCACGCAGCTGGGATCGAGGACTGGGGGTGAGGGAATGTCTGCTGGGAACTCTAGGTAAGGGCAGTGTGTGGACCGGGGCATTTGTTCACAGGGCACCTGTTCTCTTCCATACTCACTGTCTCCCCTCCCCTCTGGCCCCTTCCTGCCTGGTGTTTGTACAGGGGGAGCGGCGCCACCCAGCGTGGAGGAGAACCTGTGTAGGATCTGCATGGACTCACCCATCGACTGTGTCCTGCTGGAGTGCGGCCACATGGTGACCTGCACCAAGTGCGGCAAGCGCATGAATGAGTGTCCCATCTGCCGGCAGTACGTGATCCGAGCTGTGCACGTCTTCCGATCATGAGGCCTTGCACCGGCATCTTCAGTGCCTTATGGGGACATAGCTTGAGGTGTCTGGGCTCCAGACTGGGCAGCTCGCAGAGGGGCAGGCTGACAAGAAAATCTGCAGTGTTCCTAAGACCGGGGCACGCAAAGATGCTGTAACCTCTGGACATGCTTGTCCTGCCATGGAGCCGTGCCTCTTGGCTGGCAGAGCCAGAGGCCAGCGGGAACGGGAACAGATAGCACGGGCAAGTCCCTGTTTTGGTGATCCTGGGGTAATGATGGGAACTGATGAAGAGAGGACTTGCCAGAGCTTGGACCGCATCTTCCTCCCTTCCTCCAAAAGCCTAACAGTTTCCCCCTTCTGTACCCCACCCGTCCTCCTGAGCTGCCTGCCTCTGGGCTTCACCAGTCAGAAGCCCTGGTAGAAACGGTTCTCTTCCTCCCCAGCACCTTTGGATTTATTTCTGCTCTGGCTTTCTGTGCTTTAACCTACCTTTGCTAAAGTCTCTTGCTACATTGCCTAAAATCCATTTGATTCTTCAGACCAAAAAGATGTTAGCTTACCAGACCGATAAGTGATGCTTCTTAGGGCTGAATTTGGACCAGTAAACTTAGCTCTGGTGAGAAACAAAACACAAATGCTACTGAAAAATTTCAAAGTCAGGAAGAGTTGCTTCCTTAGGTGCTGGGATTAGAAGTGATGAATCTCCTGACCTAAGCTTAGGAGCCAGCAAAGCACCTGGCTCCCAAACTGCTGGGACATGTGAGTCTGTTTGTGTGAGATGGCACGCATAGCCTCTCCACTTCTCTAGGGCCCGCGTGCCATCCTGCGTGGCAGTTTGAGAAAAGGGAAAGTGTTGGGTAGAAGCAGTGGCCTGCTTAACGTTGACTTCTCCAACAGACAGGAATAGTAAACCACTTTCCCCTGAGAATGAAGTCCCACTCTTTTCCACAGTCTGACTGAAGACAGAGAGCCTTGCTGTCCTCTGGCCAGACTTCTCACAAAGCTCCTGGAGACACCTGAATACCTAAGGGGTGTCTGAAGGTACCGAATGAGACTGGAGTCAGCTGTTGAGCAGACAGCTGCAAGTCTTAATTCCCCAGGCTGGTGGGGACTCTCCACTCCCATTTCCTTTCTCAGAATAGTGACTCGAGGGCAAATCAGGAAGTAGCATTCTCGAGGTCCGTTAGGAAAGACCATACATTGAGCTAGATTCTCGAGTCCTCTTAGGGTTGTTCTACCACTGGAAGAGCCAAAGGGCTTAGGTTTGCTGGAAAAACTTAGTCAACAACACACACATGCTATCAGAACAGCTGTGTGTGCTGCTGTCAGCAATGGATGAATTGCACGAACCCTAGACACCTAAGGGCCTTGGCAGACCACTGCCCCACCCTACTGCCCTGCTGTGCAGTCAAGTTCTCTCAGACTGGAGGCTGTCATGACTTTGGAAGACCGTGGGAAACCTCCAACGGGACCTGTTTATCGGTACAGATAATGCTTAGGCTTTCCCCCATCATCAACCACTATTCCCCTTCAGAGGAGTGAAATGATTGCATAAAGTAGTTCTCAGTTGAACACTGGGCTGCTAACCTTGACATTACACCAAGGCCTGGATGATTGGATTCTGGGACTCAGCTTTTGTAGGAATTGGGGGAATCAAGAGGTCTGTGCAGAGGACCTTTGACCTTTCTGCTGGACGGTAAATACTACAGTTTACAATGCCTACCAGTTTAGCAGAGAATCCTGCCACTTCTCGATTCCACTGTGAAACAGGTCTATATTTATGCAACTCAGTTAAGATCTAGCAATAACTTCAGGGCAGATGCTGGCTCTCTCCCTAAAACTTGCTTTCACTGCTGAGGCCTTCCCTTTCCCTACCTCCCACAGTCCCTCCTAGGCAGAAGTTACAAATAATATTCTGAAGGCTAGTAACCTCAGTAAGAATTATAGCTGATATCATTTGCTCATTCTGGAGAAAGAACTTGGCTTGAAGTGTTTTGATCTATTTTGACGAAGGTTTTCATTCAGGAAAAATGGTGTCAAACAGCCCTGATTTGTTGTCATCGTCCATCACTATTCTACCAAATAAAGGCGGGAATTCAAGATCCCATTTCAGTTACTATGTAACCTAGGTAGAAAACCTGATTATTAATCCCTCAGTCTCCCCCCCCCCCCCAATCTCTCCAGCCCCTCATGGATCCTTGGGTCTTAATTATCATGAAAACATCTAATTCTTCCAATTATTCCCTGGCTTTTGCTGTGATTGTTCTGAGATTTCATTTGAGACTTGTTTTAAGACTCGGGAGAGCTGACCGGTTCATAATATATTGGAATAGTTGGATCCAAGCTAGTAAGAATAAGCTGTACAGGAATTCACGCACAATATATATTGTATAAATTGGTTGAAATCTTGGGAATGTGAATGTGTTACTTCAAGTGGCTTATATTAAGAGTCTTCAGAATTACTTGGGTGTTAAAGCAAACCCAAATGTGTATTTTTTGTTACAGAGCTCTGCTTTATAATTTTGTAATAAAATTTCACTATAGAAGCCTGTCTGATCTGGTGGGAGAACACCAGAGGTCTGATGGTTAACATGAAAGGGTTGATACACCACAGGCTAATCGTAGGCTGTGTGCACACAGGCATCCTCTTGAGAGATTGCAGTCTTTGTGGAGATGCTTGGGCCATTGTGGCCTTGTTAATATTCCTGTTCAACAGATGAGGCATCTGAAGTTTGGTGCTGTTCTGACTGGTCCAAGGTCTCACAACTAGTATGTGGGAGAAGCCGTGGAATAGCCTACAAGAGGTTGGGAGCTGCGGAGCAAAAAGACCAGCCTTAAGACAGAGTAACAAACACCAACTGAGTTCAGACACTGACCCTGGTCTTGTAGAGATGGGCCTTAAAGATGTGGGTAGAAAGGACTCTGGGGATGGCCAGTGTGCCCAGTCAAGACTTCAGGTGAGCCTGGGAGACAGATGGTAGTTTTTGGCTATAGCTATAGTAGTTGTATGGCTCTGAGGTCACCCAGTCTCGTGGGCAGATGGCTCTGTGCACAAAGGCCTGTGTGGGGAGACTAGATTACGTACAGATCTGCCCTGGGACTTAAGAAGAGGCAGGGGTCTTGCCCAGCAGGTGTAAATTAAAGGCTGGAGGCTGAGCTGCAGCACTGCCCTGATTCTGGGAAGCTGACCTGTTGAGCACCCCAGTGAGCACCCAGGACAGCCTCGTGTCAGCTGCCAACGAGCAGCATGGAAACAAAGGCTCAGAGGGCAGCCTCCAGCACTGTGCTGGGGAGGTGCAAGAGGGCGTTGCCAGGCTCTGGGGAAATACAACGTTGTACAGACAGTATCTCAGCAGCAGAGAAAAATATGCATGAGAGAGACTAGAAGGAAACAGACACAGCACTGTGAACAGTGAACTGAAGATAACACCCAGCAAGACCAGGAAGGGCAAAAAAAGGGCCAAGCTCATTACTAAGATGATCCCCTGTGGCTGGCAGGGCTCCTCTGCCACGAGGGCGCACCTGGAGTGTAAGTGACCAGTAAGGGCAGGCAGGTCCGGGTCTAGGTCAGCCGGGCCAAAGGGCAGTGACCGTGTCCTTTGGCAGAATCCCAAGGGGCATGCTTTTTTCTGCTGCCCTGTCTGGCTGCTTGGCCCGAGGAGGCTGGAGAGGGGGGTGGAGATTTATGTAGGTCAGTGCTCAAAGGAGCAGAAGCTTTTGTCTCCACAAAGGAAGAATAAAGAGAGTCTTCTCAATACTGACGCGAGACTGAATGGTGCCTATTCAGAAACACCAGTGTGCTGGACTAGAGTCAGGGCGGTACCAACCCTCCTGCCCCTTCCTCCCAGCACACTTGAACCAGCAGGTAGACACCCAGATCAGGCTAGAGCTGGCCTCCAGGCCCACTGGCATGCAGCCTCCCGGCAGAATATAACTTTAGTTGAGCACACTGGAGGGAGTCTGTGGGAGGCAGTGGTCCTCAATCTTACAGGCTCAGACACTCTGGCATGTTCCAGAGGTTGAGTCTCATGAACTTAACTCAGAGATGGACAAACAAGCCTGGCAACCTGTTGATAGTAAGGAAAAAAGAGAACAGACTCTCTGGAAAGTCTGTGGCACTGAAAACACAGAAACTGGTCTATGAGATGGCAGCCTGGTGAACCCATATTAGCCCTGGGCACGAGCTGCACCAAGCAAGCCCAGAGCTGCAGGAGTGGTCTGACGGGAGCCTAGAGTCAGGGGCTGGGGTGCCCTCTCTCAGGCAGGGTGGGACCACGCGGGCATGGTCCCTGCTCCAGACAGCTGCATGCTGGGCGCTGTGCTGAGTGTCACATAGGTTATCTTGGGTCCACTTACTCTTCGCAGCAGCCTGAGGACAAAGGGACAGTTCCCCTCATTCCTCTGGGAGAAGCCGCGGCTCAGATGTTAACGGCCGCTGGGTCTCTAGGCTCAGATCTGAACCAGGTCCATCCCTGCACTGTCCAATGTGGTAGTTACTAGCCACATGGGACCATTTAGAGTTGAACTAAAGTTTTTATTTTACTTCCTGTTGTTTTAGTCACATTCCAAGTGTTGAATAGCTAAGTGTGCCTGATTTGGGCCAGTGAAGGTTTACAGGGTATTTCCATTGCCAGAGAAAGTTCTACTGAACAGCACTCATCTACACTAAATTGTTTTCGTTTTATTCAAAGAAACCAGCCCTGATGGCACAGGAGCCTTTCTTGGCAAGGACGCTGGGTAGGTTTTGTCCTCAGGTTGGTTTCTGACCTTCAAAACTGGTCTTGCTTCGGGATTTGGGGGAGGCAGATCTTCCTGGAGCCGTGTTCCCCAGAGGAATAGCTCACACAACCTCGCTTCTGTAGAAAAGGCCCCGTTTTCCTACCTGATCCTGGTTCCCTCCCTTCAAACCGGACCCACACCCTGGAAGAGGAGAACACAGAGAATTAAGTCATAAAATTCATTTTGTTTTCTTTCAAATAAAGATTCATTCCTGGCAAAAAGGGCCAAGTTGAATACAAGGTTTGCCAAATAATAAGAAGCGTTTCTGAAGGCGATTTTTAAATAGAACTTTAAAATGAGCCTGCAAGTAAAAGGGGCAGGTGGCTTTGTGGGCAGCCTTCAACAGCCCAACGTTTGCTCCACTCCTTAATCGCTAGGGAAGTTACAGGGGCTAGTGGGGGAAGGCCAGGGATAACCGCAAGATATTTTATTTATAGGGGGAAAAAAAAAGGCTTTTAAAAGAAAACAGAAGGACAACCAAACCAGCACCCAGATCTGAAAGATCTATGTAAACCAGCAGGAGGAAGTGATTCCCCTGGGGGGCGCCATCCTGGTCAGGAAGAGACCAAGCACGGCTGGCGGGTTCTGGAAGACACACTGCTTAGAGAAGAAATGCCACCTGCCTCCCCTGGTTCTTGCAGCCGCCCGCCTGCCCAGCAAGAGCACAGCCCTGTGGCGTGGCAGGGAAGAGTGCAGCCAAAGGAGAGGGAGGGCTGCAGTCCTAGCAGGGAGCTACCAGCCTCCGTTTCCGGATACACGCCCAGATCCACTCAGGGGAGACCTGCTGAGCCTCAGGGTTCTTGTCCCTGCTCCCCAGCACATGTGTGGCTGAGGCCATGTCAAATTCCTGCACCAGGTCCCCATCGAATGCCACAAAGTAGCGTCTGAGACGGCTGAAGTCTGGAGTGGAGGGTGGCAGGTAAAGCCGTACCCCAGTGAAGATGTCCAGCAGCACCTGCAAACGCATAGGGGTCAGTACGGTCAGCAGTGGGGCAGACGAGTCTCCACCCAGATGAGCACAGGCCTGACTAGCGGTCAGGACACCAGCACAAAGAGTTTACCGAGCAGGCATTGAAACCCATGTCCTTCAGCCACTCTAGAGGATGCATCCCCCTCCCACCCTGCCTAGAGGAAAATGAGGAAGACACAGCAGGTCCCCATGCAAGGACCTGGAGAAGGGATAAAGACGTGTCCAAGAACTGTCCATCGGGCGGGACAGTGGCTCTCAGACTCAGTGATGCCAGCTGATCGAGCAGGCCACTGTGCCCAACTAGCTAGGCTGGGGTGTCAGGAGCCCTCCTTTGCCACGGACGGATTTAAGGGCTTCATGTAGGGTAAAGATGGGAACAGCTCTACGTGTCTGCTGGTGACAAGGTTTGGGGTCTGACTTGCCAAACTTCAGTGGCTGCTTTGGCTAGTGGGACGGACTGTGTGACTCCATCACATGGTACAGAGATCAAACATTTACTTCTCCATGTCCCCTCTGGGCCAGCAGCTCCCCCTGGGATGAGCCTACTCACTGGCCTCGGTAGATGCTCAACAGCGGTTATCAAACCCAAGACTGAGAAGGGGCTACAAAAGGCAAAAGGCTCTCTGGGGGACAATCACCAAGCCAGCACCCTCTCCCTGCTTCTTGTGGGCTCAGTCTGCTCTGGCCCCGAGCACAGACTCACACTGCTGCACTCCACCCAGACTGGGCTTCCTCCCCTTTCTTTAATGTAAACTGTGACTTGGGACCGGCAGCGGCAGCCCAGTGGGTCCCTGCAGCCTCTCAGCGAGGCCTGGCTGTTCTATCTCCTGCCTGCGGGCACGGCTCTCCTTCCTCTCTGCTTGCTGGCCGGCTGCCTCTGCAAGGTAACGAGAGGGCACAGGGTGGAGCAGCAACATTGGCGGCTGAAGTGGGGTGGGGTGGGTGGGTTGTCTGGCCATCAGTCCCCCAAACATCTTGGCTCATCTCAGTGTTCAAGTGCAGAGTTGGGAACACAAAGCCCTGGGCCAAGCCGGCCACTGGTACACTGCCGTTCGTCCCCTCACCTTTGCACGGCACGGGGGCTCGTCCGGAGCCTTCCGCTTCTCTCCCACTCTCATGGGGGGAGGCTTCGCTGTTGGCTTGTTGCCTGTGGGAGAGCTCGTATAAGAACTAGGCAGTGGGGAGGCGAGCGGACAATGACCACGGAGGCCAGGGCAGCACACAGAAGGGCCAGGCCCTGTCTCTGCTGGGAGCATAGGGGGACCGGAGGGGAGGCTTGAGCTCAGAGGGGGCTTATCCACAGGTCAGTTGGGCTCTCTTGGGGTCCTGTCGGGTTTACTGAGCAGATGGAGGGGGCCCAGTAGAATGGCTTCTGGCCCGTGGCTGGACACACCAGAGGAACACAGTCAATGTCTGCTGCAGTGGAGGCAGAGAATCACATGACCTCAGAGCTGGAATGTCAGACTGGGTCCCTGTCCTTTGCTCTCTGCCTTCAGACCACACTTGTGATTACCCCAGCCCCTCCCTTCTCACCGCCTCGGCTGGAGGGGCTGCTCCGCCTCCCTCCTGCCTTCTTGGCACTGGTGGAGGGCTGCTTCGGGGCGGCCCTGGAGGCCTCACGAGACGCAGCAGGCCCCGGGGTACCCTCATTCTCTCCGCTGCTGCCCCCAGTAGTGGAGCTCCCCTCATCTCCGGTCGCCACAGTGAAGTCTGCCCTCTCCTTGGACAGCTGGTACAGTTCCTGAGGAGGGGACGGAGAATATCAGGTGTGATCCTTCCCAGCCACTGGCCTCTGAGGCATGTCTCAGGCCCATGTGGTTAAGGAACAAAGTGGGGGGGGGGGGGGGGGAGAAAGAAATGGCAGGGAAAAGCAGCTGGCTTTCTTGGTGGTTTTTTTTTTTTTTTTAAGTTTATCTGTGAGTGAGAAAGGGGGAGGGAGGGGCAGAGAGAATCCCAAGCAGGCTCCCCATTGTTAGAGGACAGAGCCCGGTGCAGGATTTGATCCCAAAACCTGATCATGACCTGAGCCAAAATCAAGAGTCAGCCACTCAACCGACTGAGCCACCCAAGTACCCGTCTCGGTGCTTTTCTGAACTCCGGCCCTGTTTCTTGGGGAGTTGGTACAAATCACTGTTCTCTGTCCCCCGGTTCATATCAGCAGCACAGACCACAGCCTGAGGCTAGCCCCCGACCGGGAAGCAGGAGAGTAGCACAGCGCTCTTCCTGGGGGTGCTGCAGCCCCTGGCCCTGCAACAGGTGGTCTCCCTCAACTGCCCTCCTGGGCTCAGGGAGAGAGAAAATGTGAGGCCAGACAGCTGGGGTTTTGGGGCAGGACAGGCGGGCAGAGGACACACACTCAGTGTAAGTGGGCACCTTGAGTTGGGGGAGGTTAGTAGCAGATTTCCAGTCCTTATCATCACGGATCCGGGTGCAACGAGGGAATCGGATGGAGATCCCATCGGCCGTGTGAGCCTCAGATTTGGAGAACTCAGCCCCTGTGATCTCCCACACGGCAGCTTTCTGTCAGGAGTTAAGTCAGGTCACTCGTAGGTTAAGAAGGGAAGCCTCTCCCAACCAGCTAGAAGCAATACAGAACCATTAAAACCCAAAAGTACTGGCTAACAGGTGGGAGACGGGTTCTAGTCTCACTGTTGCTGCTGCTATGTGATCTTAGGGAAGTTCTGGCTCTTCTCTGGGGCCTCAGTTTCTCTGTCAGTGCACAGAAGGAACCAGGCCTGGTTACTTCTAGAGCAAACCCTCTGCGTCTAGGGGATCGTTAGTCTCATCCTCTATTAAGGAGGATTCCTCAGGGCCAACTGGCCCATCACTTGGCTGACCAGTCCAGAGCCCCATCTGCGGGTGGGCTGTCCGTGAGGCTGAGATAGCATCTCTGTGGCAGTACAGAATCTGCAAACTCATTCTGTGGACTGGAGAGCCCCAGGCCACTGGGCTTGTACCTTTGGGTCTGGGACTATGAAGTCAGGATAGTAGATCTTGTTGATTTTCAGCCAGCTGGGTATCTTGCTAGGATCCTGGAAGAGAAAAAAATGCTGTCCTGGGCTGTTCCCAAGGCAAAACAAGACTCAAATTCTACTCCCCTCCCCAGTCACAGGCTTGTGTGAAGAAGTGACTTTTCACCAAAAGCTCACCCTCACCCCGTGGGATCCTCCCTGCCCAGAGAGGGTATGGCCTAGGGGGCATGTGGCCAGTTTGCACAAGGTTGGCACTCAAAGACTCTGGAGGCCTCATATTTCTCCCATGGCCAATGAGCAGCTCTTGCTGTGGAGACAGATCAACGATCCCTGCGGTCCCCCAAGCACAGCCAGTCTGTGACAATGGCCAGTCCAGAGGCCCGGGCCAACCAGATCCCTTCCTCACCTTGCTGATCTTCACCATGTCCAGTTCCTTTTGTAGGCGGGCAAGCGTCGCATCATCGTGTCCTCCTGAACACTTGGTGACCGTGCACCACTTCTGGCTGCCTGGGTCATAGCAGCCCATAAGGAAGATGGACATCATGCCACCTGGGAGGGAGGGGGGGTTAAGTCACAGATGGAGGGAGCCGTTGCTGCCAGCCCCACATGCCCAATGAGGGGCAGCCTGCTGGAAGGGAAAGCCTTGGGCCTGGCATAAGAGCACTGAGTGCCCCTCTTGGATCTACCTTCTACTAGCTGTACCAGTTTAACCTTCATGCGCCCCAATTTCCTCTTCAGTAAATTAGGGATAATCACCTAGAACTTTTCAGGTTCCAGTAAGGAAAACTAACTTGAACAGTATCTGGCACACAGGAGATGCCTCAGACCCCAGCTTCCCCTCCAGTCGGGAGACTTTGACATTCTCTGAGGAGAAAGTGGCCAGGCCTCGAGGAAGTAGTTGATGGTGAGCTTTTCTGTGCCAGGTAGCACAGGGTGCTCTTGCCTGACCTCTCCCTGCCCAAGTCTGTAGCTCTCCGATATCCCTGCATGAAGTGACATGGACCTGTCTGGGGCCGTTGATCCCAGAACCGTGGAAGTCATGACTGGCCATGCTAGCAGATCAAGCCAATAAAAAAGCCAGCCTATACCCTGAGTGGTGCCTGTCAAAGAAGTCCCATCCCAGGGGCCAGAGGCCACTCTGACCTTTGCTCCCTTGCCCATAGAAGGCCCCAAGGACCACCAGGTCAGCTGTGTCAGCCATGGCCCCCTCGTTCAAATAGTCTTTCTTTACTTTCAGCCAGTGTCGCTTTCCAGGCTCATAGGTACCCTGAGGGAAAAGCAAGAGAGACCTCAAACTAGAATGGAAACCATAGGAGGGTGGGATTTACCTCTTCATTTGACATTTCAGCTCCACCACAGTGCCTGGCCCACTCTGGCCAAGACCCCCAGCTTCCAGCCCAGGAAACATACACGAACCCATCCTCTAGACACAGAACAGAGATATGTGACCGTGGAAAGGGCCCTGCTGCAGCCAGCCCTGGCCACCTCAGACTGCCGCCGCCCTCTGCTGGCCAGGGCTGGAGACACTGGGGTGGAGGAGGCGAGAGCCTGCAGGAGAGAGAAAGCAGAGTGAGTGGCTCACCTTCACGTCCTTCAGCACCAGTCCTTCCAACCCCTCTCGGATGACCCGGTTTATCATGTCGGCCAAGTCTGAAGCTTTCTGAAGGACAACAGAGAGATGCTGAGGTTGGTGTGAGAACAGACAGTGCTGTGGCGGGGAGGTGGAGGCGGTACCTCTTCGCACACTAGTGCATCGCCCAGTGGAAACACCCTGACTTGAGTACAACAAACCAAGGTCTTGAAAAGCAGGGATTCTCCCAACCAGAAAGCTGCTGCAGCTTTGAGACATGGGGAGCCTGCCTCAGAAGAGTGTTTCATGCCCTGTCCTCCCGGGGGTGACTAGCAGACGACACGCACATAGCAGCAGCCCCTATTCTCCCAGTCACATCTGACCAAGGGGTTCTCTGCCCGGCTTTCAAACCACTAGGCAGCTGTCTGGGGTGCGGTCTTTGCTCACAGTGACTTGCTTCATTTCTGAGAACATGATCCGGTTGGGAATTTCAACCATGTTATCGTGAAGAAACTTCCGCCGCTCACACAGAGGCCTAAGGGGGACAAAAGAGCTGGGGTCAGGTCAGGATCCTCCGACCCCCATTAGGAGTTCTGAAGAGGGAGGGACTCAGCTATAACTGCTGCTTCATGAGAGGGTTTGCCATGGCTCAAAGCTCCCAAGTCTAACACTTCTGCCTGTCGGGCTAAGGGGGCTCTCTCGTGACCAAGCTATGCTACAAAGGCCACTTCACCCTTGCAGATCCTATTTCTGCTTCATGGAGCACTGTGTGTGTAGCAAGTGTGCTGCTACTTAGCTCCTTCCTCCCCAGCTCCTGGCTACAAAGAGGCACAGGCTTCAGCCCCTTCCCCTCCCTCCTTCCCAACGTGAGTCCCTGCCTCCCTACTCAGGAGCCGAAAACAGGTCCCTCACCTGTCCATCAAGCTGACATCATTGAAGTAGATACAATCAAACACAAACAGGCAGACGTTCGCATCCTGGAAGGCAGCTTTCTGTAAGGGAAAATGAGGTAGTAGATACATAAGGCACAAAAATAAGGGTATAAAAGACAGGGAGTACGAGTCCTCTTCTGGAGACCCTCTAAAGCATCGGACAGGAAAGTCCTGTATATACTCTGAAGCCCCTGCACTTAGCAGACGGTCCTACATGGAAATCAACCCAATTCTACATTCCCAATACTAGCTCCTTTCACGCAACAAAAAACACATCTAAACTCAGGGCTAAATTCAGAAATAGTTCAGAAACAAAGAATGAGCCCAACCCTAAGTGACTGACAGATTCCCCTCCATTCAGACCAACAGCGCGCATCCATACACATCCATGTGCACACATGCTCATTCCTGCACGTGTGGCCCTGACCGGTACCTTGTGCACCCCAAGAGTCCCAAAGGGCAGCGGTTTCCCTGTCTTAGTGTCAATCAGGAGCACCTCAGAGTCCAAGATCATGCTGTGGCCCCCAGGAAAAGCCTGGGGGATATAGTCCTTAAAGTGGGCCACCTGGAGACAAAAGGGTGACTTAGGTAAGGGAGGGAGGGCTAGGCAGCAGTGACCTGCAGCCGAGCCAGAAACAAAACCCAGGCCCCAGAAGGAACATAGACCACTGACGCGGAGAAGCCAAACTCATGTGCAAAACAGACCTAGGCCTTATCAGCCACCGAGACAAGAGGAATGGGGTATTTCAGACCCAGGAAGAGGTTGGCCTGTGTTGAGTCACCCTGGGCCACAGAGGAGAGTTTGGAGGAAAAAGGAAGAAACAGAGCGTTGAGTATGCAGAGGAGTAGGTGAGGGTGGCAAACATGAAGAGAGGAGGAAATGTGGGCAGGCAGACATTTGTCGGGGAGAACAGGTCAGTTAAAAAAAGATGGATGGATAGGAAGAAATGGACCCTCTTAGGAGCAGCAAGGAAACAGGAGGGTCTTCTCTGAGTGAGAGCTCTAAACCCACAACCATCTTCAAAATGAGTAAGAAAGCATGTTTGGAATTAGAGTTCTCCCTGATAAAGGCAAAAACCTAGTCCCTGATAGTTCCAGAAAGGGAGCAGTCCCACCGTAACCCATGGTAGCCCCCACCAGGTGATGCCAGCAGTGAGGTCAAGAGAGCGTGACTGTGGCCCAATCTTCCCCTGAGCTTCCCCCTTGCTACCTATGGGGCTGGAAGCTGGGACAGGAGAGGCCTGTACACCCGTCCCACTCTGCTTCAACCCTCAACCCAGCTCTTTACAAATCCAGAGTACAGGAGAGACAAGGACGGATGAACTTTGCTAAGGCACAGAGGGAAAGGGCTCTAGCTGAAAAGCCAGGCCCAGACTTCTTCCTGGATAACAGAGGTGCCCACTGAGCAGCCCACTGGGAACAGTTCCTGGGCCCAAGCCAGTGACCCTGGACTCTTCTCCCTAGGGAGGACAGTGCTGAGCCCTCCTCCTCTGGACACCTGAATGAATGGCCCGAGGCTCCATGCTCTTGCAGGAAGGCAAGGTGAGGGGAGCACGTGAGCCACACAGCACGTCCCCCTCACCCCCGGAGCTCTGACAAGTGGAGTCTGAGCGAGGAGAGAACGGGTAGCAAGGACAGGGAGTCCATCTACTCACAAGCTTCTGGGGCCAGATGTTCCAGGTGCTTTTCCCTGAAGACAGCTCAAAGGCTCACAGAGGCCCTGAGGGCTGAGGTTCTTAATGCCCCTGAATGATGGACAGGAGTCTGGGCTCCCAGATGTCCCCACTGGACTGTGCTTACATCAGAATATAAGCCTCCAGGGGGCAGGAACTTTTGTCCATTTTTTACTGCTGTACGTCCACTCCTAGAGCAGTGCTCAGCACAGACAAAACACTCGATAAATATTTACCAAACTCATGAAGGACAGTCCAGCAGCCTTTTGTAACCGAACTGTAATTTGGCCCTGAGAAGCACACGGGACATGGACACCCAAGAGACAAGCACTGCAAGTCACCTGCCAGGTGAGTGCACTGTCCCAGTGTCACTGTGGGCAAGGGGAGCATCACTGTCACCTGGGGGACTGTGCTCACTGTCCCCTGGGGTTCTGTGCTGGGGTTCTGAGCCCAAGTCTGGGCTCTCTGACTGTCCCTACTGGACAGCCCCTCATTATAAGACTCCAAAAACAAACCCATACATTCACTCAACAAATGGAGGATAAACCCTGTTGTGTACCAGAGCTGAAATTACTATGAACCCTGCCCCTGAGAGTCTTAGAGGCAGGAAGGGAAAGAAAGTCCCCGCAGAAAGGAAGGAACCTATACCTTGTGAGGCAGGACAGGCTTGAGGCTGCGGCTGAAGTAGCTGAAGTGGTCCCCATTCTTATGCACTTGGACTCGCTCCCCATCGTACTTGATCTCAGAGAACATGCCGTTAGGACACTTCTTCATCGCATGCTCGATGGACTTGCAGGCCTCAGCCTTGGGGTGGGGAAAGACAAGCCTGGAGACTTACAGGTGCTCTCCCATTGGAGGCTGCTCAGCGGGGACAGCCCCAGAGTCCACGTCCCAGGGAATGAGGACCAGAGGATGCCCTCAGGGCTGGCACGGAACTTGCTTTTTGAGGACTACGAATGTGATTCATTCTTAAAGAGCAGTAAACTTCCACTGAAACAGCATTTCACTTTTTTCTCAATAATTTAAGATCTTGCAAGGCCCTGGCTTATTGTTAACCATACCAGTTAGCAGAGGTGTGTGCAGAGGAGGTATGTAGAAGTAAGATACGGGATGCAGAAGGCTGACGGGGGCTGGCAGGGTGGCAGTGGTCAGAGACCCCCAGGACAGGTCACAGGAGTGCTTAGTCACATACCAGGGACACCCTGACTCACACAACAGTGACTGACTACTGTTCTAGGGCTATTCACGGGTATAGATCATACACAGAGCCCCGCTGCACCCTCCATGTGCTATCTTACATGAGGGACGCTGTCTTCGTTTTATGGATGAGAAAACAAGACATTCAAAGAGGTTGAGTCCTTACTTAAAATTATATAGCTGGTCAACGGCAGGGCTGGTGTTTGCAGCCAGCCCTGACTCCAAAGCCTATGAGGTTAAGCACTAAGCTAGAGAACCCATGCCACTCTTCAAATAAGTGACAGGTTGTACAACGGACTCCCGAAAGAATTCTTATAAAAGTCAGAAAGACCACTACTGTAGGTGACAGGAGTCTTCTCCCCGGGGTGGTGAACTCACAAATTCGGAACTGGCCATCCTGCATTCCCGGGAGGGAGAGAACACTTCTATGAAGGTGTTAGTAGCACACACAAGGCAGGTTCATGAAAGGCACTGCACATGCTGGAGCAACCCGGGGAGCACACAGTGGCCTGGCAGCATATGTGTGGGGGCCCGATGCACAGAAAAACCAATGCCAGAAAGGAAATCCCACATCTTGTGAAATGAACAGAGGCTCAAGATGATCTCAGTTGGACCTGGTCTTCATTCCTTGAGCTGCTGCTTTCCAGAAGAAAATGAGGCCAAGTCACCCTGTCATAAAAAGCTCCGCTCTGCCACTAAGTCTCAGAGCTACTTTGGCGTAGGTCACAGAACCACAGGAGTTACTTAATATAGGGGCGCCTGGGTAGCTCAGTTGGTTAAGTGTCCGACTTCAGCTCAGGTCATGATCTCACGGTTGGTGGGTTCAAGCACCGCATCAGGCTATGTGCTGACAGCTAGCTCAGAGCCTGGAGCCTGCTTCAGGTTCTGTATTTCCCACTCTCTCTCTGACCCTCCTCTGCTCATGCTGTCTCTCTCTCTCTCTCAAAAATAAATAAAACATTAAAAATTTTAATAAAAAACCAAGGAGTTACTTAATACATCCACCTGTTTTCAGGAAAGAGGACTGACAAACCATTCTAAGTAAGTGCTTCAGAAGGTTTCATACATCAGTCATGTAGGGAAATGAAAAAACTAAGAAAGGCTAAGTAACTCATTCAAGATTCTACAGCTTCTTGCTGGTGGCAGAGTTGGGCCTAGAGGTCAGGTATTTGTGCTAGATCACACTGCCTTCTCTGTTGCCTTTATTTCCCCACAGAGACACACCCCTCCACAGCTCTGCTGTTCCTTCCCCCAAACCCCTCCAGCATTCATACCCCGGCAGATCTCACAAGGATGGTCAGTGTCTGGAGAACATGGGGCCGGAGCAGCATCCTTACCAGCATGGGCTGCACTGGCGTCATCAGTGAAGCCTGGACACTCAGAGCTCGTCTCCGGCCTGGCTCCTTTTCCACCTCCTGCTCATTGTGGAGGACTCGCTCCACCACATCCTGCAGGTTGCGTGAGGCTTTGAAGGCTTCATAGGCATTGGGGTCAAGGGCATCTAACCTGCCAAGGCAGACAGAAGCAAGGAAACAAAACCCACTGTCTCTGACCTCATTGCTTTAGACAGCAGTCAGTCCTCACAGAGAGAATATCTCAATATGGAGGGGAAGCGTATGCTCTACTGTCTAAAGCCTTTCACAGGAGGAAAAGCTCTTGGAAAACTCAGCAATTTTGAGATACTAGGCCTCTGTGGATGCTGCCATAGCAAAGAGGGGGCTGGAGTGGATGAACAACTCATACTCTATTTTTTGAACACACTCCATACTTTCAATTTTAACAACTGTCTGAGAAGACTATCCTTACATTTTATATGAGGAGATGGAGGGTGAGTTAGGTCTAGTGATGTGTCCCACACGAAGGAATAAGAGGATAAGGATTCAAATCTAGATCGGGACTCCAAAGTCCTGACCCCAGTTGGCAACAAAGGAAGCTGGCAGCTCAGGCTGTCAGAAGAGCTGGTACTTACACATGTTTTGCGCCTGAGTTCATCTTCAGATCATGTTTGATCAATCTGATGATGCATTTAAGGTCATTGGCTGTACACCTAGGGGTGAGGCACATTCAACTTGCTCTTTGAAGAGTTCTGGAACCCCAACCCGTCCTTTCCTGGTGATTCCGTTACCCCATGCCCATACCCACTGGGCAGCTCCCCTGACCTGGATGCGATGTCCTGCAGGGCCTGTTGCTGCTCATCCTCCTTGGTGAGCTTGGAGAGCTGAAGGAGGAATTCATCTACCTCTTGGATGGTAAGGAGGCTCTTGGCAGCTGGAGGGAAAGACTTGCTCTGCTCAAAGAAGACTCTGATTGTCTCTGACACGTCACCCTGTCTCCAAAAACCAAAATGGCTCTGCTGCAACCCCAGAGTGGCCAAGTGTATCCCCCAAACCCCCAGGACTAAAGCAGAGATTCCAATCATCACTCCTATTCCCAACTCACACATACTGGCCTCACTCCTTGGAGACTCTATCCCACCCACAGTTCCTGGAAAGGGCACCTCCACCTGCCATAGGATCTGGCCATGTGCCCTGGATGAGAAGTGATGTGAAGAAGGACTGATCCAGGACTGAGCCAATTGGATTCCTGTGAGAATTTGGACTAAGAAACAAATATGGTCATCAGATAAGGGCAGCGCTAAGCTAGAAACTATCCATGCTGCCAAAGCTGGAATCGTGAACAAACAAAAGCTGAATACTATACCAAGTTATAGTGAAAAAAAAAAAAAGCAAGAAAAAGTAGGGCCCAGAACAAGAACTCAAGCAAAGCCAGTAGAAGTCTCGACCCCTGTCCTCAAGATCTAGGCCTCTCATTGGTCAGCAGTATGATTTCAGTCCTCAACCTTGGGAAACTAACGGCTGGGGCCTCTAGTAAAGGAAGCTCTCTCGAAAAGGAAGCTTGCTCAAATGGGTTTCAGTTTCCTAAAACAGTACGTGCCCCAACCAGAAAAAAGAGGTTGCAGGTGTCCGGCATGGCACAGCCCCACCTGGCATGCCACCAGCCCTCCCTTTCCTCTGACCTGCTCCAGGTCTCGTGCCATATCATCTGGGTTGCAGTTAAAAATGCGGCTGAAAAGCTTCACAATCTGCTTATCGTTCAAGTTGTAAACACTCTTAATAACACCCGGCAGCAGCAGCTTCACTGTTAGGTACACGTCACCGTGGAAACCATCTGGAGGCAGAAGAATAGAACCCTTCTTGAGAAACAGAGCTTAAACAAACACATACATAAACTCAAGGAACTGAAAAAGGTGTCTACATCACTGTCTCTGCTGCCACAATACCCCGTGTATTTCATTACAGAGGTAGAGGCTACTGCAGCTGGTGGCTCCTGGCTTATGCACCTACCTCCCTGGATGAACTCCCACAGGGCAGAGCCACCATTTTGCTTTAGTGTCCCCAGTGATGAGCACATTACAGATGCTCAATGATCATTTGTTAGATGAATGAAAGAGCTGGAAAATTCTATTCCAGCTGTCCACGCAGTTCACAAAAACCTTATCAAATGTGCGTGATAGTGAACTTTCCTCTTGGTCAAATGCAATAGGCTCTTCCGGCCTCCTGAGGGTAAAATAAGGGCAGCATAAGAGCGGTGCCAATGTGCTCCAAGCACAACTGGCTGCGCCCCCTGTGGGGCCTGATAAGAAGTAAAAACGGGGGTCCCTGGGGACTCAGTTGGTTGAGTGTCTGACTTCGGCTCAGATCATGATCTCACAGCTTGTGAGTTCAAGCCCTGTGCTGGGCTCTGTGCTGACTGCCCAGAGCCTGCTTCCCATTCTGTATCTCCCTCTCTTCCTGCCCTATCTCCCCTCACGATCGATCGGTCTGTCTCTCTCTGTCAAAAATAAACATTAAAGAAAAAAAGAAGTAAAAATGCAGGGCTCATTGTTCAAAATTATCAAGAATTTAATGTGGTACCTGGCTGGCTCAGTAGAGCACGCAACTCTTGATCTCGGGGTTGTGAGTTTAAGCCTCACATGGGTGTAGAGATTACTTAAAAATAAAAACTCTGAAGAAAAAAAGGAATTTCAAGACTGTATTAACAGAAGATTAAACCAAGCAAGGGGCCCCCGTGAAACTGTACAGTTCACATGCCCATGAAACCAGGCACGGCTCAGAGCTCTTCAGAGGAAAAGCCCATCCAGGATGTTCTATGGCCCACCTCCTGCTGAACCTTTCCGAAGGAAGTCCTGGATGATCTGGGTCTTTGTGTTGTAGCTAGGATTTTCAGCCACCATGGCACACAACTTCCGAAACTCACGCAGCAGACAATCCTTGTGCTTGGGGTCACATCTGCTTGAGGACAGGCTTGCCTTAGGGGTAGGGCTTGAGCGGGCTTCCCCAGAGTTGTTGGGCTTGGCTGTGGGAGAGAGAAACATGGGGGAGGATTCACTGGCCTTGCTAAGCAAGAAGAAAGGGAAACTGATAAGCACTCCGCTGGAGCTTCACTTAATCCCCCCAAATAGCCCTGTGGGAGGGGGGATATCATTATACCCATCCCACAGGTACAGAACACACGTGACAGCTATTCATGGTAAAGAAACAACAGCCTCACACCCCTGCAGGGGCCCAGCCGACGTGCATCTGTTTATATGAGTGCTGCACAGAACAGGTCACATTTTTGCCGAGAGCAGCCCTCAGCAATGGTAAAGCTAACCCCAGATAAGTGGGGAGGAGAGCAGAAGAAACTAAGGGACAAATTAGTCAGTCAGTGGGAAACTGTCACTATCACAGACTATCGGGGCTGGAGGAAGCCTTAAGTTAAAGATTACCTAGTTCAATGTCTTCATACTGATGAGGAACCCAAGACCAGAGAGAAGGCGTTTCCAGCCTTTCACCACTCCCACCTGCCCATCACCATTTCTTTCCTTTTCCAAAATAAAAGGAAGCCAATGGGCAAATTTTCCTCCAGACATCCCCATGCAGTCCTCTCTTACCTCCTGTGGCTATTTACAAAGCCAATTTCATTCTGCAAGCTTGCAGCAGAGCTGTCAGCAAGCAGGTTGCTGATGTAAGCTTCCTCCTGTCTGTGGCTTGTAAATTATAAACCCATGCTCATCTCTGACTTGGAGTCTAAAGAGGATTTTAGGGAACAAAATCTCCAAAGTGTCCATGTTCAGCAGGATGCAAGAATTTAGAACACCCCATTTCTCTCAGTTCCTCCCCAATTTCCCTCCCTAGGACCAGGGCCCTTCCAGAAACATGCTGTCCTGTATTTGTCTTTAGCCTACCACCAAACAAAAAACAAACCTCAGAGTTTTGAAATAATAAAAACCCCAAAGAATCAGGCACTGTTTTTATGATCTTCGCTCCATTAGTGCTCTGAAATTACTGTGGGGAAAACGAGGCAGGTGTTCCTGTTCCCACTCCACAGATGAGGCCACAGCAGCTCAGAGGTGATGGTCTGAGCAAGCGGTCATGTGCTGGGACTTCTGCCTTCAAGCCTACGCTTCTTTCACTCACAAAAACCTACTTCGGTGAACAATTTCTAAGACCGTGTGTTTGGCTTTACTTTCTTTACCTGAGTCAGTCATAAAAATGTCTCCAAATAAAAGAGGCAGCAGGGTGCAGGGAAAAGAGCACAGGCATTGGAGTTCAACAGACTTCAGCACAAATACTAACTCCGTAATGAACCTGGACATCAGCTTTCTCCTTCATAAAATGGGCCTCCTAAAAGTCCTTCGTAAGGTTAACTGAAGAACAAACCAAATGACGTAGGCAGAAGTTCCTGGCCCAGTGCCACCTGTCACATAAGGCCATGCGTGACATCTCCCTTCCTCCATATTTTCAGCTCTGGTTTGGGCAAGGTTAGGGATGCAAGTTCTTAAACTTCCCTCATTACCAAAACACAAGGAAGTTGTAGGGCATGGTATAATCATCTCCATCCGACCCACGTGACCACTTCAAGGGGAAAATGTCTTGCCAATACAAAACCTCTTTAGGCTGTGATAGAGAGTCACGTATACAAAGAAATGCTATACAAGTGGAACGCTGAAAATCAGCCATTACCTGTCTCTGTTCAGAGGAAAGCAAATTTATGAAGGAGGCTAGATAGCACAGAATTTTCACTCTTAGCCAGAATCCTGAATAGGATTCCAAATTAAAAGGACCATTACAGCTAAAGTAGCCCTAATCTCTTACCTGAAAAACCAGAAAATTTCCGGGGATTGGTATTGGTGACCAATGAGGCACCTTTCACTGGAGAGGTCACCTGGCCGGTGGCTGTCAGCTTAGCCTGGACAACAGCTTTCTTCTTTGGTGTGCTTGTTGCCTTAGAAGACAAATCTGTAGGACCCCAAAGGAAGGGAGGAATATGATTCAGTGACAAATCCCTGAGAAAAGCTTCCAAATAATTTAACTGCTCTTACAGCCTTGCTTGGTTAAGTTACTACCATGACATTGCCACCAGGTTGATTGCAGACTGATTATTTTTTAAGTTTATTTATTTTGAGAGAGAGAGAGGGAGGGAGAGGCAGACAGACAGGGAGAGAGAGAATCCCAAGCAGGGTCTGGGCTACTGTGGGGCTGGAACTCATAAACCATGAAATCATGACTTCAGCCGAAATCAAAAGTCAGACCCTTAACCGACTGGGCCACCCGGCTGCCCCTGGACTGATCTTTTTGAGTGGAGTTAGTGGGTAACAGAGGACTGGGGGTCAGGGGAAGGGGGAGCAGGCTCTGGGGACAAAAAACCCCATGACTCTTTACTTCTATTAGTAACTTATATTTTCATTCACACTCTCTACTTCTTATCTCATATATAATGAACTCCAGACTTGGGAGAAATCAGGAATCACATCTTCACAGATAAAACCTGGGGATTCAGCTCCATGGAAATAGCCCCCCCCCCCCCCCCCATTTATAGATGAACCAGAAAGTAAAATGAAGATGGAGGGCAGAGCAGGTCAGGTTGGCACAGGCAGGAAAAGTCCCAGCTGCTGAGTTTTTTGAGCTGTGTAACAGTTGGACTCTACGTTGTATTTCTCTCCCTCTGAAGATTAGTCAGAAAGTGACAAAGGCTAAGGCCAATGGCCAAGTAAGGACAGGATGGGGAACTTGAGAAAGGAGTATATGCGAAGAAGCTTTCTCTCCTGAAAGTCTTCCCTCCTCTCTATGAACAATGAGATAGATGCTCCCCTTTTGAAAAAAATTTTTAATTTTTTTGCTCATTTTTAGAGCCATGGCTACAGTCCTCCTATAGTGACCAAAACTATACTTCATTGAACACAGGATTACTTTAAAAATGAACACATGGAGGAGCGCCTGGGTGGCTCAGTTAGTGTCCGACTCCTGATTTTGGTCATGATCTCATGGTTCGTGGGTTTGAGACCCACATGAAGCTCCGCGCTGACAGTACTGAGCCTGCTTGGGATTCTCTCTAGATACAGAGCATCTAGATTTTGTTCTTTAAAGACACTCCCCACTAATAAGAACGAGGACTCTTCAGAGAAATGGTTGATTCCAGAGTTATGGTAAGATACATATGAGGTAAACCTAAGAGGGGCACCTGGCTGGGTTAGTCTGGTGGAGCATATGACTTTTTTTTTCTTTTTTTGAGAGAAAAAGAGAGAGAGAGAGAAGAGAGAATTCCAAGCAAGCTCCACACTGTCAGCACAGAGCCAGATGTGGGGCTCAATCCCACGAACTGCAAAATCATGACCTGACTCAAAATCAAGAGTTGGACGCTCAACAGACTGAACCACCCAGACACCCCAGAGTATGTAACTCTTGATCTCAGGGTTGTAAGTTCAAGCCCCAATTGCGTGTAGAGGTTATTTTAAAATCCTAAAAATTATAAGGAAATAAAATTAAAAAAAAAAAAAAATAAGGTAAGCCTAAGAACATTATGCCACAAAATTAAGGAGGTACTTTAAAATATTTTATTTTTATTTAAATATAATTTATTGTCAAAGTGGCTAACATACAGTGTGTAAAGTGTGTTCTTGTAAAATATTTTTAAAAAGGGGCATCCGGGTGGCTCAGTCAGCTGAGTGTCCAACTCTTGATTTGGGCTCAGGTCATGATCCCAGTATCATAGCACTGAGCCCTGCATTGGGCTCTGTGCTGAGCACAGAGCTGGCTTGCAATTCTCTCTCTCCCTCTGCCCCTTCCCCACACGTGTGCATTCTCTCTCAAAATAAAAAATAAAGTTTTTAAAAAACATTAAAAGGAACGATGAGGTATTGGGGCGCCTGGGTGGCTCAGACAGTTAAGCGCCAGACTTCAGCTCAGGTCATGATCTCACGGTTCATAAGTTCGAGCCCCACGCTGGGCTCTGTGCTGACAGCTAAGGGCCTGGAGCCTGCTTCAGATTCTGTGTCTCCCTCTCTCTCTGCCCTTCCCCTGCTTGCGATAAATATTAAATAAATATAAATTTAAAAAAAATTTAAAAAATGATGAGGCATCTAGGACACAGAAACCAGCTCAAAGGGGTTTCCCAAGTGGCCAAATATGGGATAAGTACCAAATTAATAAAATACAATAAAATTATAAGCCACCAGTAAAAAGCAACCTGTGAGTCCATAGGATAAGAAGCTGAAAGATAAGAAGGTATGGTAGTAGGTACTCTAGTCTTCAAAAATACCGATGGCATAAAAAGAAAAAAAAAATAAAAGGACTATAGAAATGTTCCAGATTAAAGGAGGCCAAAGAGACAACAAAATGCAATATCTGATCCTGGAGTGGGATTCTATAGCAGAGGAAAAAGCTATAAAAGATATTGTCTGACCAATTGACACAACTAGTTGTGGATGAAAATATTATATAAAGCATCTATTTACTGGAGTTGATAACTATGTTATGGTCATGTAAGAGACATTCCTATTCTTAGGATATGCACACTGAAGTACTTCAAGGCCAAGGTTCAGGAAAAAAAAACTGTGTGTATGCAAAGAGATGGTAACAGCACACACAGGAACACAAATCATAATGTATAGAGAACGAAATGGTAATAATAGGTATGTCTGGGGAAAAGGAAAATGAGCTTTCTTTTTTCTTTTTTTATCCTCACAACTCTTCTGTGAGTTTGGAAATATTTCCAAAAAGTTAAAAAAAACCTCAAAACACAACAAAAAAGAAGGAAGGCGGGGGAAAAATGGGATTCTACTCTCCTCCTCTTCTCTCAGCACCAGTGCGATGAACAGGCAGTTGCCCACCCACCTGCAATGTGCTGGCTTATCTGTTCCTTCTCATTATCTTCCAGCTCCTCCCAGCCTTCCAGCTCGGTGAGGTCCTCAATTTTTTTCGTGGTGGCCCGGGCCCGCTCCAGTTTCTCAAACATGCATTTAATGTGATACCACTCTTTCATATCGCCCCCGGACTCCGAGAAGGGGTTGGGCACCACTTTGCCGATCCGGCATACGCCCTTCACAATCTTTTCTTTGCACTTTTTGCAGCCGGCCGTGCCACGCTTGGCATAGTCCACACAGAACCGTTGCTCGGCCATCTCACAGGGGCCACTGCAGAGTCCCACATGCGACCCTGGCAAGAAAACAAGGCAGGTGGCACGTGGTCTTAGACTGCCTTTCTGGGATGACAGAACAGGCTTTCTTCTCTGGAGGAGTCCGTGCCCATGAAGCAGCTCTGTTTCTGACCAATGGCCGAACTGTCTCCTGTCAGGCCAGAGATGATGTTCTCTGAAGAGGCACAGTTCTTTTCGCCCGAGTGCGCGGAGGGTTGGGAGGAAGATCTTGAAAGCCAAAGTCATACAGCTGCATGAAAAAGAGGCAGGAAAAGTGACATATAAACCAGGAGCTAGGCTTCCACCATCCCCAGAGGCCAGAGTCCTAATACAGTCCATGCTAACCAAACATTTCCCAAAGTATTAAAGATTTATTGCCCACAGGATGAAGTCGGGTTCCAAAACAGGACAATTCAGTTTGCAAAAGTGTTCAAGTATCTAACGCATACTCGTACATCTAGTAAATCACAATCAAGGGGATCAAATCCAAGTAACATAAAAGCTTTTCTCAGGCCATCAGCAACATCCAATACTCGTAATGGATGATGACGCGTAAGCATTATAAGATCCTGAAGTTTCTTTTTAATCGTCAAGAACTGCATTATATTTGTGAAGGTTTTAATGTGAACTATTAACATACATGCCATCCTCTGAAAATAATTCACCCTATAGATCTGTGATGTAATCAGATGAACTATTTTGAGAGGCCATTAAGTGGAGAGCCTGGAACCAGACTGCTTGGGTTCATATCCAAGCTCATTAGCTGTGTGACCTGGGTAGGTCACTTAACATCTCTCTTCCTCAATTTCCTCAACTGTAAATGTGGAAAATGATAGTACCTAACTTGTCATTCTATGAGGAAGGCTCATAGGGCAGAGCTGGGCATACAGCACAGGTTCAATACCCACTGGAAGCACTTAAATTCTTTAAGTACAGGCTCCGTCTGTGCAATCAGCCTGTTCATAATTTAGCACCTTGAATCAGGGAATGATGAAATAACGGGATGGCAAGAATCAAAGGAACTTGATAAATCAACCCAAACGGAAACAGGGATTGGTATCGCCCCACCTTTTCATATTCATGTTTTCTAAAGTATCTTCATTCTTCTAATTTTAAATATACTGGAAATTCTTTCCAGTCCACACAGGCTTTGTAAAAGGGAAAGTTATCTGCTTACAATGACAAGCCGGTTTTAAGTCCTGTAGTGCAATAACGATGCAGAAAAAGGCAGGTGGATGGGAATCAGATATAGGAGTGCGACTGGGACTGTTCAGTTTAGGGATTCTGTTACTTTTGAGAAAACCCTTAACTCCTTGGAGTTTCGGTTTTTGTTAATTTAGAAAGTAGGGAAGACAATACCTACTTCACAGGATGACTGGGAAAATTTAAACGAGTCCATAGATGGGCTGGGAGGGAGGGGCCCTGAACTCCCTGAAAACGCATACAAAGTGTGCAGATCATTAAGGGACGTTCTCTTGGAGAGACGGTGTGCAAAGGTGAGGTACATGGGTAGGGCAGGCCGATCAGGGGAGCCCAGGGCGACTAAGGTTTCCACACTGTTCTCAGAACAGTTTGGGAGGCGCGCCCCCTCCCTCCGCACGGAGCGCCGCGCCCCACCCTCCGCGGGGCCGCGAGGAGGCACCACGCTGCTCTCAGCAAGCCCATCGGCCCGCAGCCCCCCAACCGCCGCGGCTCAGTGTTTCCTCCAACGTGGTGGAGAACGAAACCGCTGGGGCCCGAACGCAGCCCGGGCCGGGAGGCTAGCGCCCAGAAGCCGCTCTTCCCAGAGGGCCTTCCCCGACGCCCTCAGCGAGTGTGTAGGTCGATTGGCTGGCGCGGAGGAAGGGGGAAACCGAGTCCCTCGGTTCGGGCCGGCCAGGGGCGCGAGGACACGGCCCGGGGCTAGGGAAGGGGACGCGACGGGCAGAGAAAGGCTCCCGACGCTCACGGACTTGCACGGACGCTCACTGGCCTCGGTGCGGCCAGCGTGACTCCGCGGGGACCCCGAGGGACCCTCCCGCGCGCGGAGCCGTGGGGGTCCCCGGGAGCGACGGGCCAACCCTCGTGGGCTCCCGGGGGGCCTCCACGTCACGGAGGGTGTGCCCCGGGGCTCGGCGGGCGGGCGGGGGAGGAGCCGAGGGGGCTGGCCCCCGGGCCGCGCCGAGGCCCGGGCCCCCGGGCCGCCTCCCTCCCCGCTTCCCGGCCCCGCCGCGCCCGCCCCTCACCTACCTTCCCCGCTCCGGCGCACACCGCAGGCCTCGCACCGGGCGACCACAGGCCGCGCGCCGCCACGACGGTTGTAGCGCCTGTCTCTTTAAATCCGGGTCCTTAAGCCGGCGCAGTGCGCAGGCGCAGGGCTCGGGGCCCAAGGTGCTCTACGCGTCCCCGCCCCCTGCCTGCCACGTGGGTGCTGGTCAGGTTCTGCTGAGAGAGGCTTTGGGAATGGAGTTGGGGATTGAGGGTGGTTCCCCGCCTGCGGTGTTGTTTGGTGAGAGTGGAGGTGCGGGCGCGTGGGTCTGACCCTGGCCTGAACATCGGAGGGCCCCACCCCCACTCCCTTTCGTTCGCTATGTTAGAAATGCTCCAGTCCTTAAAGAGGATGGTTGAGAAACTGTTTTGTAACGAGCTTCGGGAAGGCAAAGAATGCGTCATTCAACCTCTTTTTTTTTTTTTTTTTCCAACCCGTGTTCATATATTCCCTGTGTCTTGTGTCCTGCACTGTGCTTATTAGCACATTGTGCTCAATAAATAGTATTGAGTTGAAAAGAGGCATTAGGTATCTTACACACTAAAGTGTAAAGGCGTAATGGGGAGAGTAATCCCTTGTTTAGACCCCAGGACCAACTTTTTGAGAGATTAGGATGGCTATTTTTTCAAAAGAGCACCTGACTCACAGAACCTAAGCGAACTTGTTCGGGGTCTAGGAACAGCAAACAATGGGGCATTATTAGGCAAACTAAAATCACAGTCCGGAGGGAATTCTGTGCTCTGTGCAAAACTGCTTGGCTTTTATTATGTATGGGATGGACAATCTTGAAGGGCCTTAGGTACTAGTAACTACTTTTGAGGCGGGGTCAGGGAGAGACTGAGACAGGGGAAGAATTTAAATTCTTGGTGCTTGCTGAGGCAGCATGTAGGCTAAAATTGGAACATACAGAGATTAGCAGGGCTCAGTGGGCAAGGATGACCTGCAAATTCATGAAGAGTTCTGTATTAAAGGAAAACAATTTTTTTCTTTTCTTTTCTTTTTCTTTTTGTTGTATGTATGTGAGACGGTGGATACTGAACCAAACTTACTGTGGCATTCATTTTCATTTCATAATATACATAGGTCAAACCATTATGCTGTATACACCTTAATAGTCTATAGTAATGTATATGAATTATATCTCAATAAATCTGGGGAAAAAAGTTTCTCGTAGTGATCCATGTGAGAGAGGAAAGTGGCCTGAACATGCTCAGTTAGTTGGGATGGAGAGGATTGAGCATTTTTAAAAAAATAAGTATTTGGATTTTACTTTTTACTTTTTAACATTTTTTGAAGATTTTGTTTTTACGTAATCTTTATACCTGGTGTGGAGCTGGAACTCACAAGCCTCAGATCAAGAGCTGTATGTTCTACTGACCAGGCACCCCTAAAATAAATGCTTGGATTTTAAATCTTTTAAATAAAATGCCCATCTACCTAAAGATGAAATGAGAGTGACTTGAGTGAGCAGGAGATAATGGTGCCATCATCTGAGATACAAAATGAGCAGAGAGAAGTAGGTATTTGGGGTAAAAGGATGAGTTTTGTTTGGACATATTTGATTGGTTGAGGACAACACAATCCCACTGTTTGGAGTGGGGAAGTCTTTAATGTGCTGCAGAATGAACATGATCTTTGGGGTTGGAAGGTCACTGGAGGCTCAAATTCTAACTGGCAGTTGAGGAATCCTGATTTCTATCACTGCATTTACTACATTGTTTTGAGAATAACCTTGACTACCTTTTTCCCAGGCCCTGTGCTGTTGGCTGTTGTCATTGCTAGCCACATGTGGCTATCAGACTCTTGAAATGTAGCTAGTCCAAATCCAGACGTGCTCTAAGTGTAAGATACACACTGATTTCAAAGATGTGTTGCTAAACAAAAAAAGGACTGTAAGATATCTCATCAGTAATCTGTTTATGTTGGTTCCCTGTTAATCTTTTGGATAAGTTGGGTTAAATACAAATGTATTACTAAAATTAATTTCAGCTGTTTTACTTTTTTGAAAATGTGACTAGATAATGTAAAACTGCACACTCAGCTCACTTGCTACTAATATTGGTCAGCACTGCCCTGGACTTCAGTGTTTGTGGAGGGTGACATATGTGCCTTATGCAACTCTTTATCTTCAATGTCGAGAGTAGTACTGGGTACATAGTAGGCACTCAGCAAATATTTATAAATAAATTAATGAAACCCATGACTGAATGGAATGACTTGAAACTTTGAAATTGATCAGCTCCCTCCAAGAATGTTTATTACATTGTATCTTCGGCAGTGTTTGATGTAAATGTGCAAAAAGACTCAGGCTCTTAATGTTTGTTTTGCTTGAATACAGCTCCAAGGAACCCCAGTCTTGATTCACCCTCCATTCCCCCATACCCCACTATAAACTAGGTATGACAGCTGGCCATTGCATTTCTTTAGAGAAGTGGGAACTGATACCAAGGAGGGTGAAGTAATGTGTGGTGGGAATAGCAGGGCTTTAGAATAACAAATTTAGGTTTGAATTATGTTCTACCAAGGGCTATGTAACCATCTATTTTCTTAACTTCTGTGGGCTTCAGTTTTCATGGTAGAATGGGGCTAAAAATACCTTCTAGGAGTGTGTGTGACAGTTAAATGATAGGATTTATATTAACTTGCAAACTGCTTGGCACTTAGAAGTATTTCAGTAAATGTACATTCCCCTCTACACTCCACCCTGGATACATCCATACCACTGTGAAGCTGATCAATCAGGCAGGTATTGAATGCCAACTCTATGTTAGGGACCATTCCAGAAAGTACAATATAGCAGTGAAACAAAAATCTTTGCCCCCAAGGAGTTCAGAGGTTGGTGGGGGAGGTAGAAAATACATAGTAAATAAAATGCATAGTATGTAAATTGACTTAAGTGCTCTGGAGAAAAAGAAAGCAGAGGAGGAGAATAAGAGGTGCTGACCAGGGTGAGAAGGGGGGCGGGGGTGCGGCTTTAAACACAGTGGTTAAGGAGCGCCTAAGTGGCTCAGTGAGTTAAGCTTCTGACTTGTGAGTTCCAGCCCCATGTGGGGCTCTGCGCTGACAGCACAGAGGCTGCTTGGAATTCTCTCTCTCCCTCTTGGTGTCCTTCCCCAGCCTGTCCTCTCTTTCTCTCAAAATAAATAAACTTAAAAATAAAACCCACAGTGGTCAGGAAGGCCTCACCAACAAAGTAACAACTGAGTAAAGACTGGAAAGGATGAATGAGAGCCACAGTGTTGGTCTAGCTTACAGGGAATAGCAAGTAAAGGCCCAGAAGCCAGGATGTGTCAGTTAAGTTATGAGATCAGCAAGGAGATAGGTGTGCATACAGCAGCAAGAGTTAAGGTTGAGGAGCTGGAGATGAGGTCAGAAGAGTATCCAGAAACAAGTTCTATAGATAGTTCTGTTGCCTTTTATTGCAGGTAAAATGGGAAGCCAGTGGATTGTATTGAGCAGAGAAGTATCCTGATCTGACTTAGGTTTACCAGGATTGCTATCATTCTGGCTGCTGTGTAGAGAAACTGGGAGATGAATTAGCTGGCTACTATAAAAGTACAGGGGAAAATGAGGGCAGCTTGGGTGGTAACAGTGAAAGTGTAACCAAGTATTCATGTAAATTTTTCTAAGAGCATTTTTCTTTTTTTTTTTAAGTTTATTTTTATTTTTGAGAGAAAGATAGCGGGAGAGGGGCAGAGAGAGAGACAGAATCCCAAGCACGCTCTGTGCTGTGAGTGCATGGCCTAATGAGGCTCAAACACACAAACCATGAGATCACGACCTGAGCGGAAACCAAGAGTCAGACGCTTAACTGACTGAGCCACTCAGGCGCCCCTGAAGTGGATTTTTTAAGGGAGAACTTTTATTGAAGACCTAAAGCAATTCCATGATCCAAATGAAAAATGACCTTGGTGACAAATAAGCAGGGTACCTCCTACCTGTTCCTAGTTATTCAAAGTCCACATGATTAAATCCTTCCCTTAGATGTTACTGCCAAATCCTCCAGGGCATGGATTCTGTTGGTGTGTCTCCCAGGGCTTGTGCCATCCCCCTTAAGACTGTGACATGGGGCGCCTGAGTGGCTCAGTTGGTTAAACATCCGGCTTCGGCTCAGATCGTGATCTCATAGCGTGGGTTCAAGCCCCGTGTCAGGCTCTGTGCTGACAGCTTGGAGCCTGGAGCCTGCTTCGAATTCTGTGTCTCCCTCTCTCTCTGCCCCTCCTCTGCTTGTGCTCTGTTTCTCTTAGTCTCTCAAAAAAAAAAACAAGAATAAAAACAAAAAACCTGTAACATCCCTGACTTCCAGTTTAGGCTCACTAGGATTGTTAGGGAGAGAAAAAAATTAGAGGGAAATGGGTTGATTCTGTTCATTTTTTATGCTACTCACTATGGAAGCTTGGCAGCCACAGGCAGGAATAGGAAAAAGGCTTCACAACTTCCTAGAAACGGTGTGGGGCACTCGCGAAGCTAGTTTACACTCAGTAGATTCCCTTTTTAATAAGCTCTGGTCTATGAATCACATAAATCTCAACACAGAGCCAATTTTACGGTTTGGTTTGCTTAATAGTCACACAATTAAAATAAGTTGTAAAAAAAAGGTGATGGTGTTTGCCAGGATAAATATTTAAAAGGCAACAGCTGTAGGAAGATGTAATAATTCAAATCAGCCCATGGCTCTTTATTTTCAATAAAGGCTGTGGAGGTTGGTTCTTAACCAGCGGGGTTTCTTGGCCTCTCCTTGAAATATCTTTGTACTACAGCTGCCAGGTTGAAGCAGGACGGGGACGAGCGCAATCAAGGGTCCAGTGTGCCTCTGGGAATAGCTGATCCATGACACAGAGACAGGGGGCAGGGTTTGGGACCCTCAACCCAACGATTGAGGTCACAGATACAGAGTGAGGGGGCCTCAAAGTTGCTGCCATCTTCCCTAAAGTTCAGGGGTGGGTTTTCTAGTCATATATTTTAGGAGGCAAATTAATAATTTTCAAAGGGGAAATTTATAAAGAGATGAGCCTATTTGGGAAGCAAACCTAAGCTCTGTCTTCTCCGGGGATCTCTAGGCTGGCTGAGT